GAAAGATGAAGCTTTCTGCTCCCATAAAGATTTAGAGCCTTGGAAACCCTATATAGTGTCGCAATGAGTCAGAACTGACTCCACAATATATCACCACCACCACCAGTGTGACACTGTAGAATAAGCACTGGACAGCAAGTTCAGTTTGAACCACAAGGTCAGCATCTCAAACTCACCAGCTGCTCCTCAGAAACCCTATTTAGGGTTGCTATGAGTTGAAACCAGTTCAATAGCACTAAACAACAACAATTAACAACAACAATAACATTCTATAAAATGTTCTCAGATGGTCTGTAAAAAGTCATCTGACTTCACCAAAAGAGTAAAAAGAGAGCCCACAGAATGGGAAAAATATCTTTTGCAATGATGCATCAGACAAGGGACTAATTTCTAAAACTTATAGGAAACTACAACATCTCTCCAAGAAAAAGACAGATAACCCAATTAAAACATGGGCACTGAACATGAACAGACACTTCACCACGGAGGAGATCCAGGCAGCCAATAAACATAGAGAAATGTTCACGATCACTATCCATTAGAGAGATGCAAATCAAAAACAACAATGAGATATCATCTCACACCAACAAAACAGCAAAGATCAAAAAAGTAGAGAACAATATATGCTGGCGAGGATGTGGACAAAAAAGTAGAGAACAATATATGCTGGCGAGGACGTGAAGAGACTGGGACCCTCTTACATTGTTGGTGGATTGCAAAATGGTCCAACCACTCTGGAAAACAATATGGCGCTTCCTCAGAAAGTTGGAAATAGAAATACCTTATGATCCAACAATTCCTCTATTTGATATTTATCCACAATACAAGCCTTAACACAAGTAGATATATACACACCAATGTTCATAGCAACACTATTGACAATAGCAAAAAAGATAGACAGCCTGAGTGCCAATCAACGGAAGAATGGATAAACAAACTTTGGTACAGACACACAAAGGAATATTATGCTACCTTGAAGAATAGCAAGGAAGCTGCAAGCCACCACATAACACGGATGAAACTTGAGGACATTTTGCTGAGTGAAATCAGTGTCACAAAAGGAGAAATACTCCATAGGACCATTATTGTAAATTATTAAGAAAAAGTGCCCACACTAAAAGGGAAAAAAAAAAATTCTTTGCTGGTTACCTAGGTGTATTGGGTGGGGTGAGGGGAGGGAGGGGAAGATGGAGCACAGGGTAGGGAATAGGCACAAGATAGTTTGGGTGTTGCCGGGGGAATGTAGCAATACATAAGAAGGGCAGGGGAATGGAAGAACAAAGCAGATGGGAGAATATGTAGGCAGGTTTGCATGGGCTAAGTGCAACATAGGTAAATACTGAGGTATGCTCAACTTTGGGACAACAGGCTCTGGGTTTGAGGCATGGTTTGAATAGGTAAAAGAGGGGAAATAATGTTAAGTTGCTTGGCTGTTTTTTGAATCTTGGTTTCTCTTACCTACTATTGTAAAACAGACAATTGATGGGGAGAGAAAGGAATAACCAGAAACATCACCATAGAAAGCTTGTAAATCCATCTTCAGTTTATAACTGATTGGAATACCTAAAATGGGACTAGAACTTGCCCAGTGAAGGAAGCTTCCTGCGGAGCTTTTGCATTGCATAGGTGAAATCCTGATCCCCATCCAGAATCTTCTGAGGTAGGAAATTTCCACTGAAAGGACAAGCAGATCAGCCTGGAGTGGCTATAAGAACAGATAATACTTCTTGAAAGAAAGACCAGCAGGAAAAATAAAAAACAATAATGGCAGTCTGATTGACTACTACAAGAACAAGAAAGTTGTTCACCCAGGAGCCATCAAAGCAAGCAGTCAGGTCCCCTCAGGGGCAGACTCCCTTCCAAGACTGAGACTTAAGGAAAATACACTAGCAGGCATGAGGTCTTCCTGGTGACCATGTTGGTCTACTGGTAATGGGAAGTAGGGGAATGAAGTTGTGAGCTAAATCTGACCAAGTTCAATAGATTCCTGTCAACCTGGGTTGAGACCTGGTTGGCCAGCAGTATGGCGAGACCTGAGGACTTCTGGGGACAGGGGCATGGCCACAGAGGACTAGGGCAGAGAATGAAGCATACAACTAATGTGAGGTGAGGGGAGATGCACAGGAATGCCTATACTTGCAGATAGTGCTCACTTGACCTGGCTTCAATGGCTGGATGATCAGAACTCGACTAGAGGAAGAAAGAAGAGGAAAAAAGAGTAATCCACTACAGTTTGATGAACTTGACCTATACTTACGGATGTAGTAGCTCAAAATAGGGAACAAATCTTTACAGCAAGGGTCATTCTCACCCCCTCCATACACAGAGTAGACAGGGATGGGCAACTTGGACATTGGTTACCCAAAATGTGGGGGTGGGTGTTATAAAAGCACGAAGTGACTGGCTTACAAGTTTTCAAGAGGGAGCCTGGTTCCAGAGGGTGCAGAGGAAGGTAGAATCTTCACTGAGTGGTTTCCAACCTGGTCTGGGCTGGTGAAAGGAGATGGGGGTAAGACTCTTGTGGTTCTATTGTGAATAATTGCTATCTGAACTGACTGTGAGAATTGCAAATGTAAAGGTAGAGTTTTGTGACAAAAGGAGGGGAGTGGTTGATTTTGCAGTCTAGGAGCAGAGGACCCTGGGGCTATCAAGGGAGAAGAGCAGAGTGCAGGACCCTATCCAGAGAAGCAGCGACACCAGAGATGGACGTAGAGACGATGACATGGAGAGATGGAGCTGCTGGGGACTCTGGACTCAGGGAGGGAGAGAGGCTTTGTACAAGCTGATGGCCAGGATGCATGGAGGGGATTGTAATCATTGCAGTGAAGTGAAATACGCTAGGATTAATGTAAAACTGATGTTCTCCCATGTAAACTGTCACACAATTCACAATAAAAACTTTTTTAAAAAGTCATCTGAGATGCTAGTTGAAAACTCAGGCTCCTGGGCTATGCTGCCAACCTCCAAAGCTGAGTGCTTGAAGTTGGAACCCATGAATCAGCTTTTTTTTTTCTCCTGAAAGATGAGATGCTTTGTTATAGATTCAGTTATGTCAGTGCCACTAACTAGGTTAAGATGAATTTTATATGAGAAATGTTTCTAGAATAAAGTAGGTTCTTTGTGGAACGTCATATATGTAATTAAAGAGTTAAGATTTTTAATTAAATTTTATGGAAACCACTAAATTGCAAGCGCCTCAAAGGCATGGATTTTTGTCTCTTTTGTATGCTCAATATCACTTAAATGCTTAGAGCAATATCTAGTGTATAGTTAATGTTAGGTGCCTTCAGGTTGGTTTTGACTCAAAGCAACCTTATACAGAACAGAACAAAACACTGTCCGGTCCTTTGCCATCCTTAAAAATAACTTAAGTACATTGCTGCTACCACTGTGCCAATCCATCTTATTTAGGGTCTTCCTATTTTTCGTTGACCCTCCACTTTGGCAAGCATGATGTCCTTCTTCAGGTACTGGTCCTTCCAAAGTACAAGAGATGAAATCTCACCATCCTGGCTTTTAATGAGTTGTACTTTTCCCAGCACAGATTTGTTTGTTCTTCTGGCAGACCATGGTACTTTGAATATTCTTCTCCAACACCATAAGTCAAATTAATGAATTATTTTATGGTCTTTCTTATTTATTGTCCAACTTTCACATACATATGAGACTATTGGAAATACCATGGCTTGGGTCCGGTGCACTTTAGTCCTCAAACTGATGTTTTTGCTCTTCAACACTTTAAAGAGGTCTTGTGCTGCATATCTGCCTAATTCAATAAGTTATTTGTTTTCTTAACTGCTGCTTCCATGAGTGTTGATAGAGGATCATGCTGGTATTTAAAATACAGGTGGATAACTTCCACCTCACAGCAACACACAAGCCACCACAATATAACAAACTGTCAGATGAATATATAATTTGATCTCAAAAAACATTTGTAATTAAGAGATGGGCTTTTGAGTGAACTATAGCTAAATTGCAGTTTACTTAGCCTTTCTAAGCCTGTTCTTGTTGCTTTTGTTAAGTGCTATCCAGTCAGTGTGAACTCTCGGCAACTCTGTGCACATTACCCAACCCTAGGCCATCTTCACAATTATAGTTATGCTCCCCTGTGTTGAGTGTATTCCTCTTTTTTTTATGACTCTCCAGTTTACCAAACATGCTATCCTCTAGTGATTGATCCCTACTCATAGCCTAAATATATACAAATACAAACTTGCTGCCATGGAGTGATTCTAACTCACAGCGACCCTACAGAGCAGAGAGGAACTGCCCCACAGGATTTCCTAAATCTTTATGGAAGCAAACTGCCATATTTTGCTCCAACCACAAGGAGTGGTTGGTGGGTTCCAACTGCCAGTCTTTCAATGGATGCTTAACCATGGTGCCACCAGGGTTTCTGGCAACTGAGACAGGAGGATACAAGTGTCTGTATCACAGCTTTAACATTAAATTAAATGAAGTAGCATCTAGAAAGCATTTAACAGAGTGCCTGGCACAGAGCAAGTCCTCAAGCAACAAAAGTTAATTGTTGGTGTTGCTATTAATAATAACATTTAGCACATCATCAGTATCATCAGTATTAAATATTAATGGTATGACTTATACAGTAGACGCTCTAAAAGTCACTTTGGTTTAAAGATTTAAATATGTGTAATAATAAAATAAAACAATGCTCCTTCTATTATAAATCCTACATTTTTGGAGAACTGTATGTGTTTGAAGTAAACACAGTCCATAGAGAATTTGTATATTTTAGAGTTTTTTGTTCATTGTTTCTTTCCTTCTTTCTTTTTTGCTTCCTTCTGTCCTTTCTTTCCTTCTTACTCTCTGAATTTGGTTCAGAGAGTGTGCATCTTAGTTTTTTGGAAGGGCTGAATTCAGTGAAGGGACAAATGTGATCCAAAAGGTCAACATTGAATGAGTCAGTCTTCTGGGCCCTGTTATTTTGTTGAATGGCTTATTTTGGGTTTTTTCTCTTTTTTTGTTTAAAACTCCAGGTTGTATTTAAAGGGTCACACTGGGACAGCAGGAAAACAGAGCAGCCTGATCTTACACGGTGCTGATTTCAGCACGAAAGATGCTGATAATGACAACTGTATGTGCAAATGTGCCCTCATGCTAACAGGAGGTAAGTCCTATGGGGCTCGTCTCTAAGTTATGCTTCATTGATTTGAAGCTTGAGGTTTCTTATCTACGAGAAAGGGGTATGATCATCTGGTCAGGAAACCAAAGAGCAAGTCTCTAGAGATAGTTTTGTTCTGCCCACTAATTTACCATGTGTTCTTGTGCAAGACATTGTTAACATACTTAGAGGTTTTCATTCTATCCTAGTATCTATAGTAGAGTAGGCGAAACTTAGTCTGAATAATTTTATTAGGCTCATCAGGATCCTGTTATTTCATCTCCTAACAAAATCATTATGATACCAAAGTAGAATGAACAAACACATTGGCAATTCAACATGTACAGTTTATAAGTAGCATCTGCTACTTATAAAATGCTTTGCAAATGTGTAATTTCAATTGACCAATCAATTGAAATGGAATAAGAATGAAGAAGTATAGTTGGACTGAAACCTAAAGTCATACCATTCAGAAAAGCTATACCAGGATTTTGCATTAGGTTGCATTGACCTCACAAGATATTTTTAGATGGTATAGGAGATACTATAAAATAATATTGTGTCCCATAGTAACAATGTTGATCCTTTTTGGCTTTCTCAATATTTTTTTCCAATCTTCTGATTGCTTCTAAGAAAAATGCTCAGTTTATTGCTAGTAACTTACTAATTACCCTTCTTAGCCAAAAACAGTACCCTCAACCCCAGACCCAGGTTCTTGGTTAGGTCATTGGAATCTACTGAGATTTAAATAATGTTATTTTGCTTTAATTTTAGATTATTTAAATATACCTTCTAATATAGCAAGTGATATGCATTCCCTCTCCAAAGGAATTATATAAACTTTACATTTTAAGTACATTCGCAGTATGTGATATTTAACTAATCATTGATTTAAATATATTAACTAATGATCAATACATTTTTTAATGAATATGTAAGATTTATACATGAATGATAAACGTTTTGGAAATTGCGAACACCTAATTTCATTAGATGCAGCTCAAGACATTGGCACTAAATAAAATTGTAAAGGAAACCTCCTTGTCAGTGTTTCTCCTTTCCCAATTTTAAAAGAATTTCCCTCTCTTCATAGAATAGCAATCATTCCTATTTTCAACTGTTCTGTGTAAATCTATAAAAAACATGTTAGTAAGAAAAAAATTGTTCAAATATAATTATTTTCCACCCAGAAACTATTTAGTAATTCATGACACCTTCCTATGTGTAAAGTACACTCTAGAGAGTTTTCAAGGCTGTGACCTTAAAGAAGCAGATCACTACAACTTTTTTTCTGAATTGCATCTGTTGTTGTTGTGTGCCGTGGAGTTGGTTCCGACTCATAGCGACCCTGTACAGGGTTTCCAAGGCTATAAACCTTTACGGGAGCAGAAAGCCTCATCTTTCTCCCGCGGAACAGATGGTAGTTTCGTACTGCTGACCCTGAGGTTAGCAGCCCGATTCATAACCACTACGCTACTAGTGCATCTAGGTGGGTTCCAACTACAACCTTTCAGTTAATAGTCTGGCATTTAATCATTTGTGCCACCCAGGGACTTTGCATTTCTTTGTTGTTGTTAGGTGCCTTGGAGTCAGTTATAACTCATAGTGACCCTGTTAGAAGAGAATGAAACACTACCCTGCACTGTAGATAATGGGCTCACAATTGCTGATAACATATACAAGATCTGTGAGATAGTCTCACCATTCTTAGAGCATATCGGCTATACTTCTTTTAAGAGGACCATTGTGTTACATGTTATTATATATTACTTGACTGTTGTTCAGTGTTGTCAAGTCAGTTCTGACTCATAGTGACCCTCTATAGGGTTTCCAAGGGATGGCTGGTGGTGAGTATGAACTGTTGACCTTGTGGTTCACAGTCCAGTGTTGATCCTACAGTGTCACACCAGGAGTGCCTTCAAGTTGGTTCTGACTCGTAGTGATCCTGTATACAGCTTCTGAGGCTGTAAATCTTTGCAGGTACAGCAGTTTCCTTGACATGCAATACCAGTTCACTTGAACTTTAAATCAGCTGTGTATAATAAGCAGAGAGAAAAACTTCTATCTCTACTTTGTACGTTGTTGTGTTAACTGCCATTGAATTGGTCCTGACTTACAGGTACCCTGTGTAAGGTTTCAGAGTTGCAGCTGGTAGGTTTGAACTGCTACCTAGCAGTTCAAATGGACTTTGCTGTCCAGTACATTATCCTGCAGTTTCACACAGGATTAGAAAGGTTAAAGTAAGTTAATGTTCACTATTTTATTCTTAGCATCTACTGAAGTAGATTGTGGCAAATAGGGCTCCCCGCAAAATAAGATGCATGCATGAATGATGTCAAATTTAGGACATGTTGTAAACTGGTAATCTTTGAAATCACTGTGAAATTTGAACCAGTGAAATTAATGTGTGGGTTGAAATATCTCTCATCAAGTAACAGAGCATTGTCAAGTATAGAAGGAAGGTGGTTATGTGCTGTGGAGCGACTGTTAATCTTTACGGGAGCAGAAAGCCTCATCTGTCTCCTGCAGAACAGCTGGTAGTTTTAAACTGCTGTCCTTGAGGTTCACAGCCCGATTCATAACCACTATGCTACTAGAGCTCCTATTACCATCTTCTGAAAGTAAGACAAGCTTCAGAATCATGAAAGCCACTCTGTTATTTTGTTTCTTATCATACCTTTCTCTTTAATGCTTTGAGTATACCATTTTGACATTGAATATTTAAAATATTTATTATTTGTAATTTTATGACTACACCATTAAAAAAACATAATAAAGATTCAGTTGTTCCACATTTAGAGTGTTTTAAAAAAAAAAGTGGTACCCAAAGGTCAGTTCTTGAACTTTTTTCCTGAAAGAAAAACATTTCATTACCTCCCTGAATGCTTAAATGAAATTGTCAGCAACTTTAGGCAAAGACAAAAGGGCTGTGGCTTTCCAATGTGCTGTCCATTTTAATATTGAAACACCCTTCATTTTCCCTGTGTCTATTTTTACAGATAATTTTTCTTACCAAATAAATACACCACGTGAAAGACCAACAGTAAAAATCTTTCAATTGTTTCCTTAGAAGTGTGTTCCAATATGTTCATATTCCTGTCATAATAATGAAAATATGGAACAAGGCAAAGAGGAAAATATACCTCTTGGTTGTCAATGAAAAAAAAATTCATTGCTTAGATTTATGGTTTTATTTCTGCTTCACATGATTGAACTTTGTCATGGTCTTTCATCCATAATCATTCTTGGACCTGCTTCTTACTGACCAATAAACACATATGTTAGGGAGAAAAAAAAAAAATTCCACTTATTTCTTGGGCTGGAATACTCTAAGTAAATGTGTTTTTGTAACAAATTCTATTACCCTATCAAATATCCTTTTGAAAGAACCCAGGTCTGCAAACTTAGTCACTTTGCAAAGTTAAAATCTGGACTTTAGATAGCTAAGAACTGGAGAACATAAGGATGAATGTCAATAACAGTTCAGGTAACGGTTGCTGCCTGGAATTTATGTCCTAATTAGCTACTGCATACCACTACCATTTAATCTCTCAATTTTTCCCTTTTAAAATAATTTCTTCTCTAATGATTTTTCCTTTCTTCTCCTTTTTAAAATTTGTATTTGAGCTCATTGTTTATTTTAAATAATCTTTAAAGCAGTGATGCTTGATGCTCTTTGGAGCTAATAACTCAGTTTTCAGTCATCATCAATGAAAAGTTTGTTTTGTCTTGTTTATAGATGAATTTTTTTAATTTGTTTCTTCTAACAGAAATGGAGGTGAATTAAGATGTCTAGCCCCCTGATAGTGTTCTATGCCGTTTTCTTTAAGTACGTGGAAGGATTAAGTTGGAGGATATAGTAACATTTTTACTCTTATCTGTTAACGACTAAATAGACAGAAGATACGTTTTTTGAAAATGGAAGGTATTTCAGTTGGACATAGGTAAAACATTCTGATCTTCCTTTCGTACCCAATTCCTTTTATCGATGTAACACGCTTTAGTGAGTCTCCATGAGTTGGAATCAACTCGTCAACAACTAACACCACCTACTAAACCCAGTTATTGAGCAAAAGAGGAGGCTTCCTGTCTTCATAGAGCTTGCACCTACTTTAGAGCACCATCAACAACAACAACAAAAAAAACAATAAATAGCACAGTTTAGAACCATAACAATTTCTACAGGCAACATTACTGGAGGAAGGGGGAAGCAACTTTAGACAGAGGGTTCCCGGATCAATGAGTGGACTGGATTGCCAGGGAGGCTCATGCAAGTCTAGTTATGGGCATCTTCAGGTAGAGAACAGAGAGTTATTTATTTGAAAGAGTTGAGTTATGAACCTTCCAGCAGTTATGGATCTAAAGTTAGATAGTCCCTCAAGTTTTCTTGCAAATTCTGTGATTCTATTGTTCAGTGTACCCCTTTGCAGTTGTTATGAGAGAAAAAAATTGTTCAATGTGTTGTTCAGTGGTAATTCATAATGCATGATTAAGATGAAAAGTGATGTAGTAGACTGAGAAAGTACCAGGCATATGTATTTATAAAAGTAGAGACCCCAAGGTTTAGCCCTCATTTCCTAGAAGGAAGCCAACAACTCTTCCATTCCATTTTAATGTTGAATAATCTTTGTGTTTTATTACCCATTTCTTATGTAACCAGAGGGTATATTTCAAGGTCAAAACTGCTGCATGCATTTTCTATGGAACTGACTGACCCCTTAATTAATCATTAAATAGAGATGGCTTGTCAGCATAGATTTGTAAGCCAGAAATATCTGTGCTTTGTAACTGCCATTGACGTTGGGAAAATGTCTAAGTTTTCTCCCCAGGTCTCCCCATTATATAGGCTATTATTGAAAAACTGTGTATTTCTTTACTAGGAGGAATAAATTTAAAAGGTGATTTTTAGGAAATGTTTTCTTAGTCCCCCAGGAGAGCACCTATTGTGCCCTTCTGAGCCCAAAGAAAGGAATCAGTTTCATTAAAACTGAACAGTTTAAACTGTG